AACATAGTATTTAGCAAGAAGCAACTGTTCAAAGACAGTTCAAACAACTTGTTTAAGTTGGACTGGATGCAGGTCATGTACCACCAATGAATTTTTAAGATTCTGACAAATAAATGCCTAACTATATAAATGTTATAAATGTTAAATAAGTGTTCTATGAAATAACTTTTGTCAAGCAAGTTGCATGTTTATGCAAGTTTAATGAAATAAATGGAAATGAGTGGCTGGAAGGTAGTAAATCAGTATAAAAATGTTCTCCGTAAATAAAATGTAATGAAAGAGTACTGTATGTGTTAATGGGCTTAAACCACCAGTATGGTCTTTTTTACAACAAAATTAAATATCTGAAAATGAATACCTGTATGGTGACACAGTCACTGTCCTGCTCACTAGTGGGTCTTGGGGAACCAGTAGACTGCTGTGGACTGCCCACCTGTGGAGAACTGCGGAAAACAAACAGACATTTACAATGTGGGTTTTTGCATCAATATACGGACAGACTGCAATTTAATAATTCCGTTTAAGCAAACAAATACAGCTAAAATAAACACATATTGTGAAAAACAAGCACAGAACAAAGATTGAAACTCATTACTGTGCAAATTATTTTACACCTCGCTGTGCAGTTCAACCTCCCAAAACCCCAAACAAAACAAATCAAAAAAAATCTGCACATACAGACTGCACCATTACCTGTCTCTACTCCTCTCACACTCGAGCTGTGCCTCCAGAAGGATCCTCTCCAGCTCCCCCTGCAGGGCGGAGGAGATGCTGTCCTCCGGCCCTGTCAGACTCTCCCTACGGCTCACGGCTGCGATCAGCTCCTCCAGCTCAACCCAGGAGCCTGATGAGGAAACAATACAAGCAGCAGGATTTGTAATGATGCTCAGGCAGAAAACAGTAGGGCTTCATGCACATATGTTCCTGTAATGAGCCAGAAGGGAGTCCTGGTGAGGAAAGTAAACAAATCTATAGTGTTTACATTGTGTTAAGTCTATAGAGCACTTTTTTGTAATTTTCTATCAATGCATGCTCTGTTGAGAGTAGATCTGGCACTGGGTATCAAATTATACTAAGATATTAGTTCCAGGGATTCATGAAATAAAAATCTGTTTGTTTCATGCAGATGTGATCAAATGTTATTTGTTTACAAAATTCTGTTGTCTGTATTAATGATTCTGACAAGAACAAAATCAGTTATAAAGTTTTTGTTTCGTATGTGTTAAGACTTGTGGTGTAAGTCAAACACACAATTAACTATAAAGAATAAAAAAAAGGACACATTGGTGAATTTTCTCAATGTATATTTTCAGTCTATTCTCCATTTCTCCACACACACACACACACACACACACACACACTCCTGCTTTGTGTGCGAGTTCGGTTTCTGCATTATATGCAATTCAAATGAGTCTTAAAATGTTTACTTTATATATTCCAAATTATTGGTGGCAACTTATTTGTATTGTTTTTTTTATTTTAGCCATCTAACCCATTAATCTGAGCCTCAGAGTGATGGATGCAGGCAACCTTACTTTACTTTATTTCAGTGGACAGTAGGACTGCAACTAATCATTATTTTCATCATTGATTAAAGGTCCAGTGTGTAACATTTAGGAGGATCGATTGGCAGCAATGGAATAAGTGATGTTCAGTGGATTGCAATCTGCAATTTCACGGCTAGATGCTACTAAATCATACACCCTGGTCCTTTAATCAGTCTCTTGATTGACTGATTAGTTATTTTATCCCTAAAATGTCAGAAAATGGTGAAAAATGTTGATCATTGTTGCCCAAAGATCAAAGTGATGTCATCAAATGTCTTTTTTTTCCACAATCCACCGATATTCAGCTTTTCACATTGGGTTGGCAATCTTTTCTATATATCAAATTGTAGACGGAGAGTGGACTGGTGTGTGTTGTTATGCACTGACATATGGTGACTTGTAAGCAGCACCACAGATGTCCTGACATTAGATGACCTGAGAGACAGTAAATGCAGGATGGACTTCCAGCTAGACTGTACTGTGTTAAACATATGTACAAAAACCTACAAACAATGAAAGCCAGAGTCTGTTTCTCTCCATCAATGAATTCTGGACTCATACACATACAAACTGAGATATGAATGAATGGATGCACAGGTTCACTGGGTACATGAGCAGGAAGAGATTTACACATGCACACTGTTGTGTATGGGATGCACACACCCACAGCCAAACAGTAGGGCAGGGCTAACTCAGGCTGACAGCATGCTTGTTTACGTAAGATCTTATTTCTGTTAGAGATTAGCCATTCACCCTCTCCCTTCCTCCCCTTGTTTCTCTCTTGTCATGCTGTCTGTATCCCTCTGTGACATAGGCAGCATTTCCAAAATATCAACACCTCATCTGCCTACCAAAGTATCCTTCCCTCTCATGTGATCTCACTAATCTTCACTTTACCCGGGTTTATGACACGGTGTAATCACACAAACAGCAGCAGAGAGGGTAGAGACATGAGTGGGCACAGAGCTGGAGGAAGGGAGGGAGGGAGGGAGGACAGAGCTGGGAAACTGTGCCATTGCCCTAGTTATTTTTCTACAGCGGGGAGTTATGACATAACAACTGCCTTGTTTTCTGACTTATCTATCTGTCGCCATTCTACGGCACTAAATCAGTTTCTATGGTGCAATCCAGTACAAATTCATCTGTGCCACTGCCAGAGCAGCTTTATGTAATGTGGACAAGAGCTGGATGCTAAAAGACTCAATGAACTGCAGCACAACAAACTCATTTTTGATTTGCCGGGATGTGAAGGTCTGCTTCCAGTTTTTAGGGACTGTAGGGAGGGTAATCTTATTGTTTTGGGAAAGGTGGAGTGGTCTTTAGTTTCTTCTTGCATTAGATTTATATTTTATTTGGCCTTTTTATTGTGAGATTTAGTGACATAAAGTAGTTACATCAAAATCTTAATGGATCCCAAAGGTGCTTTTTGTTATATGAAAAAAAAAATGAAGATATGAATTTCATCCATCTATTTTAATGCACTTCAATTTGCGCATAAAGAAACCCTTAAGAATCCCCTTGGGGAGACATGGGGGAGAAAAACAATACATATGTGAAAATAAAGGGAAATGAGGGATAAGAATACAAATACTTTCATGTTCCTTTGAGAAACTACTGCGTTCCCCCAAAGAAAAGCTGGGTAAACCCCAAGGGTCAATGCTTCACATGTTGTTTGGTAAAGAGTAAATCCTGATTAATGGGTTCATAGAGTTTTATTTTGAATTTAAGTGGAAAAACTGACCAACCAAACATAAATACATACATTTTTAATGTTTGGTTGAATTGTAAAAGTTAGCATATAGCTATAAACATAGACAAAAAGATAGACAAAGTGGAAAGAAAAAAGGTGTGAAACGTTAAATATGAAGTAAATGTTGCTGAAGCTTCCGTTGAAGAGACGATAAGAAGACTGTTATGTTCCTCTGTTATGTTTTCTTCAAAGGCACCCAACTGGAAAATTAACGCCACCAACTGTTTATCTAGATGCGCCAAACTCCTAATAAGCACAACAGGACTAATTAGCATTTTTTCTTTTGCCAAATTTGTGTAAATTTGTTTAAAACTTGTTTAGCTCAGAAACTTGACTGATAACTTTTCATGTAGAATTCTTGGTAAACACTACGCACACTTGTTATGTTTTGCTAATCAGGCTCTTAATGTTTAAACTGCCAAATATCGGCATCACTATTGATTTAAATCCTGTTATCGGTCAGGTTATAATTGATAACCCTGTCTTGGTCAAGAATAAGCTTCACCACTCCATCATTTTTGTACAGTCCCTTGGTGTCCTGCTCACCATAACATTGCTCCACATGTTTTTCCCAGCATCCTGTGTGCCAAGCAATGTGCACACAAGCACAGTGGAGCTATAAGCGTCAGGAAATCTTTACAGCTTAATTGGCTTACAGAGATACAAACAGGTGAGTCAGGGAATCCGTTTACACAATGACAGTGTTAGTGGCAACAACAATGCCAACTATAAAACTGGCAGTGCCTTCTTGTGGCATCCTCTCACACCTGATCTCCCTCTGACATGCTGTTAATATATGTCTGCAGCTGCTGTTTCATATCTGCACATCAGACCTGCAAACACACTGACTAATGGATGGATGGGGGGGTCACAGCTTACATTGTGTACCCATTGTTGCTATTTGCATTGTGAAATGAAATCAATGTGTGCACACACAAAACAGCTTTGACACTAAGCTCTTTAATAGCTGCATGTGAGCAGAAAACCAGCTACGCCATGGCTGTAAAGGCAAATAAATAAATGTCATGACATAACAGGGAAAAAAACAAAACAACAACAACAAAGGCCTAGACCATGTGCCACCATCACTCACCGTAGAGTCCGTCCTCTGGTGTCTGCGAGCCGGACACAGACATGGTTGAACGCCGGGGGTGCTGGATGGAGAGAGAAGCTCGGAGAGATGCTGACACTGACCGAGGAGGACAAGCAGGTGCAAATGGGGTTCTTCCCTGTACGCTTTTCTCTCAGTCAGTCCCGTGTTTGTTGTAGTCTAAAGAGGGACACTGGGCACCGACGCTGCGCTAATCCGCCTCCCATCCCCTCCCCTCCTCTTCCTCCCTCCTCCCCTCTCCCCTCCTCCCTCCCCCTCCCTTTCTCCCCACGTGTCAGGAGCGAAGAGGTAAACAAAACAAGCTCAGCAGGTAATCAGCCTCCGACAACAAGGTGCATGAGGCAACAGCGGGTGTGCGCCCTAAAAACGGTCCCTTAACCATCAGTTCATGTGTGGTGGGACCGAAGGGAGCTCCTGTGGATGATACATATATATCCATAAAATGTTGACTGATACTATATTCTCAGGATGCAGATTTGACAGGTAAAAAGCTACATGCGCACCAAAATGTCCTCTCAGCTCACTGTTGATGATGTTACATCATATATTGGGAGCTATTACAAAATTAAAAAGATGAAGTTAGGTCATTTGAACAGTTCATAAGAAGTAGCTAATAAGTTATTTTGGTTTCCAGGTTTAGAAACAATCCTTCTGGAAAGTGGTTAATCCTTTCTATTTGGTACAAATCTTGACAATCCATCAACTTTCTAAGTAGTCAAGTCTGGAGTTATACATTTTAAAAGTTAGTGGTCCATTAGAGATGGTTAGACCTGATAAAAATGAACTGATAAGATAAGTATGGTGGCTCTGTTGTTAGCACTGTTGCCTCACAGCAAGAAGGTCCTAGGTCTGTTTCCCGGCTATAGGCCTGGAGTTGATCCCCAGGTGCTGCACGGTGGCTTCCCACTGCTCCTAGTTCTTAGAATGGGTTAAATGTAGAGGACAAATTGTACTATACGTTGTATGATTGTATGGTGATAATAATAATTAAGTGTCCTGCTGGTGGAACAAACACAATCGTGTAACCAGCTCCACTCATTTGATGAAGCAACTCTTAGAACAGAATACTGGACATGACCTCAGTGTCCTCAATAACAACCACAGCCCTGAACATATATCCCACACATTATCTAATCACTGCATGTTTGTCGTGCAACTTGATATTGCATAGATTCTGATCATATGTACAAACAAACACTGAAATGGTAATTCTGTTTTATGATCACATTTTATTGTTTCTCTGAACAAAAATCACATAAATAATTGTTTTAAAAAAAAAAAAATCTTGATTAACTAATTTATCAGTTTTGCACATCTGGTTTAACCGTAAGTGTATAAGTATCGTACAGACATACAGTGAGCAAAACTTCACAAGAAACCAGTTTTTTTTATGTTTGTTATGAACCAAATTGTTCAAGGGCAAACCACGTTGACACCAAATTTAGTGGAAATCTGGAGAGCAAAATTACACATATGTTCATATGATAAAAGAACATAGTTACTGTTTAAAAACAAACATGTCAACATGTCGTCATAACTACTCTTCCCGAGGTGATTCTATGTTTTAAAAACAAATGCAGATGCTGTATGTGCATGAAAATAATATTGAAAATAAAGACCTGTGTACTGTTTTCTGTCAGGTGGAAAGTACCTCCAGTTATTCAGAGCTACCAGAGCTTCATGATGATCAACAAAGTCCAGTCAGAGTGCACTCTGAATATTTATTCCTTTAGCCTTAATTATGGAAGTGCAGTGAACTAACTCTAGAAACGTGAGACATTTGTTTGTTGGCTGTTTTCAACTTTTTGTGTTTATAAGCAAAAAATATAAAAAAACCCAAACAGTTGCAGTATAATTCTAAATAGCTAGATTATTTCATCTGTTATATATTAGAAACAGTATGCTTCCTGTAATGAAATTAATTCAAGGTTATTGGCAAAATCTAGAAAATATTTTGAAATAAGCACTCCCCTTTTTAATCTTTGGCAAGCTGGCTGGAGAGCCTTTGATGTGTGCCTTTAAAACATCAAATGAAATGGACCAAAGCAGATCAGGATGTTCATGGTTGCTACATCATCACTTTATCAGCACCATATACCTGGAGAACATGTGAGACCTCCGTGCTATATTTAAACTTTTTTTTTTTTTTTAATGAATTAGATCAAGAATGTGTTTCTGATTTTTCTGTTTCTATCTGTATCGAATGCGCCCTGTGGCCAATGATTCATCTATTTCTGTGACATTCCTTTAAGACGCTTGGCATCAGTGACATCAGCAGTGCACAGACTCAGTGCTGGATTTCATTCATGTAGCCAAGAGCAAACAGAGACATAACGCAGGAGGATGCACACAGTATACCCTCAAAACAGTGCTCATCATCATAATGTTTTAACCACTTTCCTTTCTAATAGTTAACAATTTATGGAACACAAAAACAAGGAAGGTCAAATGAGACGTTTAAGGGAAACAGATTTCAGATGATTCCTGAATCATTTGGAAAGTGTATTGTAATATAACCTTGCCTGATACTTTAAGAACAACATCACCACCTGGTGGAGAGAGCTACCAAAAAGCACTCCTGTCCTGAGGCAATTTTATCTCCCAGCATCAAAATAAAAACTTATGTTATACAGATCCATGCTGATTGAACTACGGCAGCTTTAGATCCTCTAAACTTTTCTGCAAATCACCTTCCAAGACTTATTTGAGGTAGGCAAGAAGACCAAGCATTAAGAATGACGCAATGTATTGTTAATACCTTCTGATACATAGCCGCAGCCAGAAACCGCTCTACTTTCACAGTCTATCTTCTCACCCATTTATTATGTTGCCAAGCAGCATTTCTCTTTTGACCTCCAGCCTTGTTTCTAGACAAGAGGACAGACACAGAAAGTCATTAATCGGCCTAGAAACAAAGCAGGAAAAGTTCCCTCATCCATCAAAGGAACTTAAGATCTTTGACAATGTCCTGGGCCCGGCTCAGATCAAAGAGGGAGATGCCAGCTGTAGACTGCTCAGGTCCGGCAAATGACTGCCCAACACGTTCATCCATCATGCTCAAAACTGAGATAGCAAAATAATAAAATCTTTTCAGGTAATGGCCACAGTTAGATCTTGCCATTAGGCACGTCCCCTAAACTACAGCCTTGTATTAGGCTATGATTGATGACTTGATCTGAGTTTACATTAAAGGATCTGCTTAAAATTCACCTTTTTGTAGCCAGTTTGACACAGAGGCTGATTAATGGGTGCCAGGGAAACTAGTGGTGTTCTTTTGGTGGCTCTGTGGGCATTGTGAAAACAATATCTGACTAGCTATATGCAGGGAGCTTTTTGATTATTTTGATAAATAATAATTACATTTCCTGGGCTCCCCCCAAGAGTATTGTAACTGATTCATGTGGACAAAACAAAGCCAAAGAAAGAGAGAGGGAGGCTTAAAGCAACAGCTACAATGTGTCCTATACACACTTTACTGGGATGTGTATTAGTAGAATAACAAGACAAAGAGTTGACAGCCATGCTAAGAGAATGTGTGAGACTATATTTATAAGCACAGCAGCACTCTGAGCTAAAAGCTAACACCAACATGCTAACATTCTCACAAGTATGCTAACATGATGACGCTATAGGCCAGTGCCAGGGGCCTCTTGTTAGCTACTTAGTGCTAACTGGACAGTTTTTGGACAAATTATTGAATCTAATGGAATGATTCAAGATTTAAAATACAATTGTAGTTATTATTGCATTGATAAACGTAAGGAAATATATTCAGTTGTTTTGTTTATTTATTTATTTATTTTACTTTTGCCACAATTATTGTCAATAAGTTTTAAGGTAAAAGAGGGGCCCCCGCATATGACCTAAGGCTTATTGGCCGGCCTTCCTAGGAAAAGTTTGGAATCCCTTACTATAGGTTACATGTATAATTCAGTTAGCTTACTTTAATTTAGTTAGTAGTTTAGGTATAGGTTACCACCATGGTTGCCATCTTAGTTTAGCATGTTAGCTTTTGCTTTTGACAACATTTTTGACCTGATCATGGCACTAAATAAAAAGTCAGAGGATCACACAAAGTTTTTATTGTTGTAATTCATCCTGAGATGAACATGAATATCTGTAGACCTAACAGAAATCATGACAATTTATCCAATAGGTATTTCACTCAAAACCTCAAATATCAACCTCATTGTGCTGCTAGAGGAAGAGTCGGAGGAGGACCATTAATGTACAAATTTGCAATTTTTTATAGCTGTTGAGATAATCAGTCTGGATCCTAGTGGCGGATTGACTGACTGACTGACCAAGCGACAGGCTGACAATGCTTTCCATGGAGCCACTAGCATGGACAAAAGAAACATGTTCATGTCAGTATTTTCAATTATTCAAGTACACTGACACCAATGAAATTATATTACTGTGATATTGACAGTGCTATCAACATATCTCGACAAAAAAAATAAAAATCTCAGAAACACCAGCTTTTTGTGACAATACCTTTTCAGATAATCCATTGTGGTTTATTTAGCTTAAGAAGTAGGAACATTTTCTCAACCCGTAAAGGAACACTTAATCCTTTTCAATCAGGAGAGACATCATTTTTGAATGAACAAATATATTTAATTGATATGTGCACAATGAAGATGAGAAATGTGAAGAGTTCTTTAGCGATTAGACCCCATCGTGATGTCAAAAATTTCAAATCCTCAAATTTAAAGATACATGTTGTTGTTTTTTGCTGGTCAAAGATGACATGCAGTAAATGCAATTTATGATATGAGTAAATACATGGTTTCTTAAACTGAATAAAGCCATTAGTGTGGCCCTTTTTTGTATTTTTAAGTTTTTCTAGAAAATGCAACAACAACGAAAGTCTATTATAGCCTATTATTATTATCATTTCTGTTTCATCTCAGAAAGCAGTGTGCAGACAGCTACTGTCTGTGCCTGAAAACTATAAAAAAACAAACTGCTTTTTAGCTCTCCTAAAATGCCTTGACCTTCACACAGCTCCACTATAATCACCAGTGGGACAGTTGAGATGGTGGAGGGCTTCAAAAATCGTCAAAATATAATGGACAATAAACTAAACACCATGTATAAACACTGCCAGCAGAAACTCTTTGTCGTCTGTAAACTCAAGGTCCTCTCTGTAGCCGATAGACACCGCCTGTTTGGAAACCACATAGAGTCTGTCCTCCTTT